GCACAGCACAGCGCAGCGCGAGGCAGGGCAGGGCAGGGCACGTCAGGGCACGGGAGCGCGATGTCGTGGTCAGCGGGCAAACTTGTGACAGCCTGTCTCCTTTACTGGTGTGGCCTGAGTCTAGTGTCTCCCTCGTCGGCGACAGCCAGCTCCGCACAGACTCTGGGTCTACCACGGCGGGCCCGATGAGCGCGACACCCCCTCGGAGCGATGGGCGGGCAAACGGCGAGCGCCGTGCGTCTTGTGCGGAGCGTTATACTGGCACTCGACCTAACCTTGTTGCTGTCGAGGCGCCACGAGAAACGCCAGCGACCACGCAGCACAAGTCACGGCCTCAGGCGCGGGCACGCTGGGACGGAGGAGAACAGGATGGGAGCGAGGGGGGAGGAGGGAGGAGGCCGAGCAGAAGAGAGGGGGCTGCGAGATGGGCTTGCGGCAGAGTCGACCCTCGCGAGACAGGGGAGCAATGATTGAGTTCCCTCTGGACTTCGAGCTACCATGCCGTCCCTGCGGAATGGGTCTGCTGCCAAGCATCAACGGATATGACCATGATGAGTGGAAGGCTGCCGCGGGGCGGGCAAGAGCCAGCCCACTGGCAGCTGCAGCGCGGAGGGCAGAGCGCCTACGGGAGCCAGAGGAGAGGCAGGCGCAGGAGCAACCTCTGGCTGGCCAGCAGCGGCCCTCGGGCTTGGGTTGGGTTTGTTATGAGCTTCGGCTTGTCATCTGCACTGCATAAGGCTTGCCTTCGGCTTGAATGCGGTCGGATTTTTTGCATCGCGTGTCGCCGCGGCGGCCCCAGCGACACGCTGTCCGTTGCAAGGGGGTAGGGTGTCGCTACGCTCCGCGGACCGGGAGGCCTCGAAAAACTCGAGACGCCAACGCCTGAGACTGGGACGTGGATAGCGTCTCGCGCCGAAGCGCAGTGGGCCAGAACCGGCGCAGCGACACGCCATCCGACAGATCCCGACCGTGCATTATCCAAACTGGGTCCGCGCAGGGCCCGCTTCACGACGTGGCCCCCCGGACCCCAGGAGGAGGAGGAGGAGGAGGAGGAGGAGGAGGAGGAGGACCAGTTCTCCGTCGTCGCGGATGGCTCTCGCTGGCGGCCCCCGGGGGGGCCCGAGAGCGGCCCCCCGAGGGCCCCGAGAGGCGCAGGGACGGAGCACACCGAAAGCACTGCCCGCCCTGGCGCCGCGGCGCCCTGCAGGCCTGCGGAGCTGGAGACAGACCGCCCGACGCCCGACGACCGCGGGGGCGCGCCGGCCCTCCCCTATCCCGAGGGTCGCCGCCTCCCGTGGGCGGCGGCCCCCAGGACAGCGGCCCCTTCCCTGGGGCTGGCGCGTCGCTCGGAGGCGCCCCAGCGGGGGGGCGTCCCAGAGGGGGGCCTCAGAGATCGTGGCTCCGACGCACGCGCGCGGCCCAGGGGGCGCCAGGGGCAGCAGCGTCACGAGGAGAGGGGGCCATGGAATCCTGGGGAGGGGGCCCCAGCCCTGAGATCCACCCGCCCTCTGAGAGCCGACGCCTCGAGAAGTCTGGCGCGTCACGACCGGAGCCCTGGGCCCCATCTTTCTGCCTCGCTGTTCGAGCCGCATCGATCCGCGAGGGCTCCGGGGCCCGAAGCTGGGCGAAAACGCACGTTGGGGAAAAAGTTGCAAAGCCAGGTCCTCACGCCGCTGCCGGCCACCCCTGGCTTCTCCCAGGGCCGCCTCTTGCCGGCCCCCAGGGGCCAGGGAGCGGCCTCCGGAAGCCGACAAAGAGAGCGTGGAGGCACGAGCCGCCCCGAGCCTCTGCTGCCGAGGCACGGACACCGCGGCGGTCTCGTTGGTGCGCTTCGGGTTGCCCTTCGAGAACCGCCAGCCGGAGTCCGGGAACTCCCCGCGCACGAGCTGCTCCAGGACCTGGGCTCTCTGTCGTTGCCGGGGCGCCGGCGTCGTCGGTGTGCCGTGGACGCGGGCGCTCTGTGGTCGCGACCGTGCGCATGCCAAGCGTCGCCTTCGCCTTTCCGTGGCCGCAGCCGTTTCCTATGGGGCACCAGGAGCTACAAGGAGCGCCCGAGGGAAGCCAGAAGGAAGGATCTAGGGAACCACGAGCGCACTCCGAAGCCGACGCGGTCTCCCGCTCCAACGTTTGGTCCGTACAGCACAGGGCTGGCGTGAGGGGCGCCTCCCTCACGTGGCCGACTCCAGAGGCCCAGTGGGCATCCTCCCAGCGCTGACCGCTCCTTGGGAGGTCTGGCGCCTGGCCCTGGTTCCGCCAGCTTTCGCCGAGATTCCGCCAGCTTCCGCGAGCAGAGCCGCCCTTGGCCGTGGGGGGGAGGGGAGCGGGGTGAAGAAAGGACCAGTCTCAGGGGACACTCCGCTGGCGGCCTCCGCTGGAGGCGAGTGATCCACCCTCTCCGCCCCTCGAAGCCGACGCTCCTCCAAGCCTCGAGCCTCGAGGCCTCGATCCTGGAAGCCTCGGTCCTGGAACCGCACGGTGGCCGTGGGCCGCCGAGCACGGCGAGGGGGCGGCCTCGTGCTCGGCGGTGTAGTTGTGCGTCTTCTTGTTCATGAAGTGCTTGTCCGCGTTGGCGTCGCCGCCGAAGCCGTAGAGCCTGGGGGGCGGGCTGCCGCCGGACGAGGGCTCTCCTCCTCCTCCTCCGCCTCCTCCTCCTCCTCCGCCTCCTCCTCCTCCGCCTCCTCCTCCGTAGGGCACGGATGACGAGAGGAGGGTGGGGGAAGGGAGGCCTGCCAGAGGGAGTGCCTGCCACCCAAAACAAGTGCGGCCAAGCGCTTGAGCATCCAACCGGGCAGGGGCAATGAAAACGCGGAGTGCTTCTCGTCTGGGTCGCTGGCTGCGGCATGGCGGCCTCGACTGCGACGACAGCGACGACGGCAAACCGGAAACCGTTGTCGGTGTCCGTTCCAGGGGAGGCTACGTGGCCGCGGGCGCGGTCTGATCTGGGCCTGCCTTGGACGGGCATTGAAACTCAAGAGGGACTGGATTAGCACCGGAGTCGCCAGTTCACAAGGGAGACGAGAAGAAACAAGGGAGACGAGAAGAACGAGGAGAGGGAGGGGGAACGGGAAGGGCGAGGAAGAGCAAGGGGGCAGGGCCAAGTGCGGTCCGAATGCAGAAAAGGGTGACGAGGATGTCGCCGTTCAAGGCTCCCGTGGATGGACACCCAAATAGCTGTGTATCTTATCTATCGTTCCCTTCCCAGTGGGGCGCTGCGACCCCCTCCTCCCACCCGCATTCCTCAACCGCTCGGTCGCACGTCTCCGTCGACCTCGCCTGCCCCGCGCCGCGCCCATCGGAGAAGGGCGGCCGCTGAGGCCCTTGACCCCGACGCGCGAGGCGCAGTTGCTCCGCGCCCCCGCGGGCGAACCGGGCACGGTCGGGAACGACGTTTGGATGGCGCGTCGCCGCGGCGGCCCCTGCGACACGCCGTGCCCTGCGAACGGAGGGCGTGTCGCTCCGCTCCGCGGGGCGGGAGGCTGGGAAAAGCCCGGGGCGTGGACGCCTTGGGGAGCTGGGGAGGCGGAGAGGGTGTCGGGCCGAAGCGCAAGTAGACCAAAACCAGCGGAACGACACGATGCGCCGGAATATCCCTGACTGTGACTCTCTCGGGCGCCCCTCGGGCGACTTGATAGCCACGCGGGGTTCGGAGAATCGCACCGCCTCCCCGACGCGGCGGCGACAGCGGGTCGGATCGGGAAGGAACAGGCTCCAGGTCTTGACGCATCGCAGGTGCATCGGCGATGCGGCGCGATCCCTCGCCCAGATCTGCTCTGGCCCAATGTGGGAGACCTGGAATGAAGCAGCAGGCTGATGATGAAGATGAGACAGAGGGTACGATGAGAAACGCGAAGAGGAAGGATAAGGAGGTGGAGCAGGAGAAGATGAGATGGATGAGAAAAGTGATAAGGAGCAAGAGCGGGAGCGGGAGCGGGAGCAGAAAAAGATCACGATGAGTAGAGCAGGGGTGTGGAGCGGCAGGATAAGGATCCGGGCGGAGGAGGAAATGCAGAGAAGAAGCACGATGGAGATCACAATGAGGAGGGAGGGGCTGGGCATTCGCCGGTATTTCCATTCGCTGGCCCCCTATGACCTCCCTTGGGCATGAATCGGGAACGAGCGAGACAACCAGGCGGGCTGTAGGGCCACTGAACGTTGCGGAGACGCTCGGATGCGAAGCCAAAATGTGGCCCTCCACCTTGTGAGCATTTTTTTACTCTGGGTTCCGGCTTTAGGCGCATGGGGGGGAGGGGGGGGGGTCCGGCTCTCGGCCCGTAGTCAATGCCTCCGATTGAATCATGTGGGGAATCCTGTGGGAGATGCCGATGAGGGAATCCTAGGGGGGACCCCCCATGGGGGAATCGCGCAGCGGCTGCGCGGGGCTGCGCCAAGGCTATGCGTGATTTGGCAAGCCTGTGCCAGAATTGCTAGGGATCACCTATTCATGAGTCCACGAGGCCGTCGCTGGCATAACAGGGGAGGGCCCAGCCGGAGGCATGCTTTCTGGCGATCGGGTCTGGCGCCCCTGAGCCCTTTCGTTGTGGTTCCAGAAGAGTAGCACGATAAAATGCGCACAGTTGCACACATCAGCGATTCGAGTTTCTACCGGGGGAGGGGGGGGGGCGCCGGCCCCTGTAGTTCGTCCGATCGATTGAAGCAGGTGCCAAAATCAGCCTGGAACTTCTCTACGGGGGGGGGGGAGGGGGGGGGGAGGGGCGTTCCGCCGAAAGCAAAAAAAAGTAATAAAAGAATGCTCACCTTGCTGAACAAATCAAGCTCCGATCGGCTGCTCCGAAGTGAGCGTAAACGATGCCCACACGATCGTCAAAGCGCAGATATTATGATGTCCGTCTGGTGTGTGTATGTGTGTGTGTGTGTCTGTCTGTCTGTCTGTCTGTCTGTGTGTGCATCTGCTTGGCCCGATGGACAAGAAAAGAGGAGGGGGGGTGGAGGGCAAGGAGGAGGAGGGGGAGGGGGAGAGAGAGGAAGAGGAGGAAGATGGGAAAGTTGAGGAGGGGGACGAGGACGAGGAGGAGGAGGAGGAAGAGGAGGAGGAGGAGGGGCGAGGAAGAGGAGGAAGAGGAGGAAGACGAGGAGGGACGAGGAGGGGCGAGGAGGAGGCGGCTTGAAGAGAAAAGAGGAGGAGCACGCAGGCACGCGGAGAGAAGTACCAGAGACGGGAGAGAGAGACGGGAAGTACGAAAGGACGAGGTGGCGAGAGAGAGAGAGAGAGAAAGAGCGATGAGAAGAGCATCAGAGGGAGCGAGACGGACAGAAAAAAAACAGTGAGGGAGAGAGGGGGGCAGACAGACGGACGGGCAGGCAGGCAGGCAGGCAGGCAGGCAGACAGGCAGACAGACAGGCAGGCAGGCAGGCAGGCACACAGACAGACAGAGAAAGACAGAGAGAGAGAGAGGAGACGTAAGAGGCGAAGGGGCAAAGACCAGGAGGGCGGTGGGGGGAGGACAGAGCACGAAGAGGGAGGCAGCGGGAAAGGGCGAGAGGGGGGGGGTCCTCGGGAGAAGCGAGGCAGCGCTGCGCAGCCGCGGAACGGGGCCCGACCCTCAGGTCGGGCATGTCCTCCCACAGGCGGAGCCTGGACGAGAGACAAAAGGTGGCCAAAGCATGCTCCAGAATGGTCGAAGGCGGTGGCCGCACGAGACAAGCCCCGGACCCTTCTCGTCGGCTGTTCTCGAAGGCTCCTCCTGTGGAGGGACATGCCCGACCTGACCCTGCCCCGCTCAAGAGCCTGACGGAGTTGCAGAGCGGCGCCATGGTCCAGAAGCTCTCGAACCCGCCGGAGGGGATCGGCCCGCCCCGCCCCGATGGGGCTGAGGCCAGACGCACTGCCCCCTCCTCACGGCACCCTGCGGGGACACATCCACACCACCCTCGTGACCTGCATGCCCTCGCTCCTCCCTCCTCCCTCCTCCCTCCTCGCTCCTCCTCCCTCCTCCCTCCTCCTCCTCCTCCTCCTCCTCCTCCTCCTCCTCCTCCTCCTCCTCCTCCTCCTCCTCCTCCTCCTCCTCCTCCTCGCCCTCGCTCCCCATCCTCCCCTGCCCCCAGGGCCCCTCGAGCCATGAAGAAAAAGCACGACGGAAGCTTGTTCGCTACCTTCGGCCTCCGAAGACCCTCTAACCAGGCCTCGGGACTGGTCCCAGGAAACTCGGGATGGGTCGAGCCCTCCCCAGAGTTCCGACGTCTCGGAAAACATCGAAGCATCGAGAAAGATCACAGCCGGAGCCCTAGACCCCAGCCTTCTGCGACGTTCTCCAAGGCGGATCGATCCGTGAGGGTCCTGGTGGGGCCCGAGGCCGCGCAGAAACGCCGGGCTCGAAAAAATTGAGTCGCCCGGGGTCTGGGAGTCGACGTCATGAAAGAATCATGGCGTCGGGGGTCTGGGTCCACGGGCGCGAGGGGGCTACATGGACGGAGCCCCAAAAAAACCCTGCACCAAAAAACCTTGGCATTGGGAAGCCGAGTTTTACACCCCTTCTTTTTCACTACTTCCTAATCGGTCTTTGGAAGTATCGTGGCGGGCTTCCGTCTCTACCTATACCGGGCGCTTCCGCTGGCTTCCGCCAGCCTTCCGCTGGCTTCCGCCAGGGGAAGCGATGACAACGCCTTCGATCCTCGAAGGCGAGGCCCTTTCTTGAACGCCTCGCATGGGCGGGGGCCGTTGCCGAAATGGCGCAACGTCCAGCGTTGCATCGCAACTGGCGCAGCACCTCCGCGCTGCCGCTCGAAAGGCCTCCGTGTTGTAAAACGGCCGCTTCGTGTTCAACGCAGTGCCCCCCGTACACCTCATGAGATCCTGGCGCTGGAAGACTTCCACCACATGCGCGCTCGCCCAGCCTCAGGCCACGTGACCCTCGCAGACCGATGCGGTCCGAGACGCGTCGCAGACAGCTGGGGTCCGCGGCTCTGGTCGTACAGTCGGACATGCCTGGACAGGACAAGCGCGAGGACACGGGACCCTTCCGAGGGCCACATCGCCATAGGGATGTAGGAGGCGTGGGTCGCGAGGCACAGGATACGAGGGCTACCCTTGATCTGGCAGGGTCGGCCTACTCATGAGGGCCGACTGCCATGTTGTTCGCGATGTCGCAACGCTTGCTGCAACGTCGGATCTCAGGGTTCCTGCTCCCCCCAAGACGCCCCTGGAGTTATCTGGAGGTCCCCACGGAGGCCTCCAGAGTCCGAAACGTGCCAAGGGCGCTCTCGATCCTCTGTCCATCCTCCTCATCCTCCTGCTCCTCCTCCTCCTCCTCCTCCTCCTCCTCCTCCTCCTCCTCCTCCTCCTCCACCTCCACCTCCACTCCTCCTCCTCCTCCTCCCTCCTCCTCCTCCTCCTCCTCCTCCCACCTCCACTCCTCCTCCTCCTCCTCCTCCTCCTCCTCCTCCTCCTCCTCCTCCTCCTCCTCCTCCTCCTCCTCCTCCTCCTCCTCCTCCCCCTCGTCTGCTCTGCATCACAGCCGCCTCTTCGGGGGTCCGTGTCTGTCCCGTCGCGTCGCCGTTGGCATAGACCCCGCGTGGAGACCCCGTCGAACCCGTGGAGTCCACGTCGAGCCCATGCCGACAAGGGGCCGCCGAAAC